TTACAAAGTGTTTCTAAAATATGGTGCCACACTGAAATAAGATATAGGAAATATCAGTTTTGACAAGAAGGTCCTTTTGTCTATTGGTCCGTAAATACTTTGAAATAAAAAAAATTTACAGGTGGATAAAACTACACCACTAATTACATCTTAACTCCAAAACGGTTGACCAGTTCTGAATGAAACTCTATAGCATTTTAGTTTATAAATAGCAATAGTCTCAAGAAACAACAGTTTTCCTGCAGAATGGCGCAGTTGTAGGGAGTAATTGAGAATTTTTTATCTTAAAAATATTGTCATGGTAAAAAGTACCCCTCCTCAATATCGTTAATCTGCACCGTTTCCTAGAAAATTAGCAATAAACATTTTTATACACTTAAATGACATATTCCGAAAATGCCGTGGATTCCTTTTAAACTTTGCTGAGACATTCAAATAAGAAATAACTAATAATATAAGTAAGAATGAATAAGAAAATAAATTGATAAGAACATTGATACTAATATCTACTGTTTTCCAGATAGAATATTCATTAGCTCTAAAATTTCGGTAGATCTTAAGCATACCAGAATTCCAATTTTCTCACATCTCTTTTTTTCTTATTTTAATTGGTACAATATGACTTACAGCAAAAATTAAAAGCAATCTGTGACACCAGTCATTTTTGGAATAGGTAGGCATCAAAGTGCAAAAAAATATTTAGTGCTAATTTTTTCGAAAACGGTGTTATCGATGTCGAAATAACTCTGTAATTTTTAAGAAATTTTTTTTTGAAATCTTAATAAAATTTCGAAAATGCTGGATATTTTTGGAGATAAATAAATCCTTAATTCGCCAATAATTCCACCATTGCAAATGAACAAAATGCCACAACCCCTTAAAACTTTTGCAATCTGTTATACAGGGTGACCCATTAAAAATGGAAACACTCGCGTACAAAAGTTGTTTATGGACCGATTTGAACCGGGTTTTTTTTTAAAGATAGATCTCCAAAAGCTCTATCTTGATGCAAAATTTGAAGACGAAATTTTGATTTTCAAGGCCTACTACGAATTTTTTTTTAAGTGAAAAATAGCAAAATTTTGTTAGCGATTTTTTTATAAAAAATCTGACTACACCACTGGATTTAGGAACCCCTCAAATCTATTTGTACCAATTTTTGTGAAAAAATGTTTGCCCCTAGAAAAGTTATGACAATATTGGCATCACCAGTGTTTGCCGTTGTCGGTGAACCTATTCTTTTATAAAAACCGAATAGAACCAAAAGGGAAACAAAATTAAATAACAAACACTGGTTTAATAATTATTAATAAAAATCATAAAAACCAGTATACACAAAATAAACAACAATTACTCTAATATAAACAATTGATAAAAAAATTATTCAAAAATTACATTTTTAAACATGAAAAAGGAGTCTATCAAATTGATTTACACTAATCACGTCATTAAATTTAAATTTTTGTAGCTTCCACTAATCCTCCGTTTAATTCTATACATTTTTCATAACGTTTTTTTATATTTTTTACAACATTTCGTAATTGATGCGCGTTAATCTCCTCACACGCTTCCCTTATTCTAGTGCACAATACCTCCCGGTTATTTGGCCGTGTCTTATAAACTTTGGACTTAATAAAGCCCCACAGAAAAGAATCAAGTGGAGTAAGGTCCGGAGATCGGGGTGGCCAATGAATTAATGGACTGTTTCGACCTATCCAATGATTGGGGAAATTCTCGTTAAGCCACTCCCTGACTTGTCTCGCATTGTGTATTGGACATCCATCCAACTGAAAATGTAGATTTACTCTTTCTTGTAATGGAAGATTATCGACTGTATTAAAAAATTCGTTCTGAAGGAAATGTAGAAATTGTTCGCCATTCATATTCCCTTCAAAGAGGAACGGACCAATGACTCTCTCGTTAAGTATCCCACACCAAACGTTAACTTTCTGACTATATTGTCTTCGGCAATTAATTATCCACTCTGGATTTTCTGAAACCCAACACCGCGAGTTCTGTGATGATACAATTCCATTAGTCGTGAATATGGCCTCATCGCTGAATAAGATATTTTTTAAAAGAAATCGGTAATTGAGATATTGTCCCTGTGCCCAGAGACAAAACTCCATTCGTTTCTCATTATCGCCTGGTTCCAGAGTGTGAAGAAACTTAGGTTTATAGGGTTTTATGTTATTTTTTTTTGGCAGCGTCGGATACTATCTCTAGGTAAATTTAAATCTAAACTAGCAATCCTGAGGCTATTCTGAGGATTGTTTGTAAAATAATTTAAAATTTCCTGCTCGTGAATACGTCTTCTCTGTTGATTGTCCCTTTTTAAAATGCATTTTGATACAGCACCATATTCCATAAAAGTATTGTTTATTTTAAAAACTGTGCTATGCGTAATATTAGGTCTATCTGGATGTCTGTTGTTAAAAATTATACACACCTCTCTTGCCGTCCGATCATTTTCTCCAGAAAGGCGTACTATTTCAATTTTCTCATGTAAAGTTAAACTTTGAGCCATCGCAAAGAATTATGGAACTTATTTAACCATGCACAAAAAATATTACAATGTGCCACTACTTGTGAAGTTTGACATTTGTTGTCTAAACTTCTATTTTTCACAGCCTACCAAATTTTGTTCATATTATTTTTAAGCAACGTTATTTTCTGGATTTCTCGTAATATTTTTTTCAGAAAATTCTTCACAAAGAATTGGATTATGGTTGTAGAATCCAGTGGCTTTTTGAATAAAAAAATTATAAATGTAATTATTTTTGTCTAAGAAGGTAATATTTGTAAGTTTTGGCATAATAACCACGAAATAATAATAATTTGACGAACTTGTTGTTTATTTTACGTATACTAGTTTTTATGATTCTTATTAATAATGATTAAACCAGTGTTTGTTATTTAATTTTGTTTCCCTTTAAAAGAATAGGTTCACCGACAACGGCAAACACTGGTGATGCCGATATTGTCATAACTTTTTTAGGGGCAAACTTTTTTTCGCAAAAATTGGTACAAATGCATTTGAGGGGTTCCTAAATCCAGTGGTGTAGTCAGATTTTTTATAAAAAAATCGCTAACAAAATTTTGCTATTTTTCACTTAAAAAAAAATTCGTAGTAGGCCTTGAAAATCAAAATTTCGTCTTCAAATTTTGCATCAAGATAGAGCTTTTGGAGATCTATCTTTTTAAAAAAAACCGGTTCAAATCGGTCCATAAACAACTTTTGTACGCGAGTGTTTCCATTCTTAATGGGTCACCCTGTATAAAGATGTGTACCTAGTTTCATTTGTATCTAATATTAAACCACTTAAAATTATATGCTAAAAAATACATTTCCTATAATCTGTTTCAGTTTGATACTATATTTTAGAAACATCTTGTATTTACCCAAATATTTTTTACTAAAAATGTTCGGACACCCCATATTACACAAATTAAAATCTTCCTAACGATTTAAACACCCAAAACACATAGAGCAGACGTCTAAAACACAAATGATGCCTTGAAATACTTTATCGCAATTTTTTATCATGTTGATGTAACAAAATTCACATGAAATTTTTCAGTTATTCTTAGTTATTTTCCAAAAATATGAAAAAGAAGAAAAATATTTATTCATAGGTATTTTAACAGCTGCACCTCCAACTAATTGTAAAATGTAATCATGTAGTAGGTAACTACTTGATCTAGATGTCCAAACAGTGAAAAAAATACGTTCAAAACGATCCTACTTCAATAGAAAACAAAATCATACCTCGTACCGGCATGGCAGTACTAATATGGTTTCAACATGATGGAGATCCTAAACATTTTGAACGTGTGGTACGAGCATATCTACAATCTACATAGATGAAACTTTTCCTGATAAATGGATTGAACGCAGAGGGGCAATAGAATGGCCATCTAGGTCTTCCGATATGACGCCGCTTGACTTTTCTCTGTGGGGTCTCATAAAAAATGTAGTCTACAAAAATAGGCCACAAAATATCGAAGAGTTGCAGGAAAGGATAAGGCATGAAATTCCATATATGGCTCCCTACGGAGTTACAGGGTGTTTTATTTAAACAAAAATTAAATGATTTTTGCCCATTACTTTAACTCTATCAAACTTGGCATAAAGTTTAGATACCTTAGAACATATTAAAATATGCTACAAAATCATTCATGGCTACTACCAGAGGCGTACGGCAGAGGTAGAGGGGCAGTGTCCCATTTCTAACTTCTACGAGACTGACGGAATTATTATTTTGGTACAATTTTTCAATTCTTCAATAATTTCTATGCAATTAACCTACTATTCCTTCATAGCCGTAAAGTCATTATTTCTCGAGATTTTTAAAGTTAAACATATGGCTGCACAATCATTTTTATTTTATTATGTAATTTATTTGTCATATTATTATTAGTCAAGTCGATGTCTTCTGTCATGGGATTGCATTGGGTACATTAGTTGAATTAGGTTTTACGGTTGACTACAGTTTTAGTGATGGGCAAAAATCATTTAAAATGTTTTAAATAAAATACCCTGTAACTCCGCAAGGAGCCATATTTTATCTAAACGTTGTGTCAATTCTTCACATTTTAAGTCCAGGATTATCCAGTTAGCGTAAGTACAATTATTAATGAATCACCCTATATAAAATTTCTTCAATCAGAAAATAGTTACTTGAAATTAACCAAAATATTGATAGAAGAAAATAAGAGGGCTATCGAACAGTGATTGAAACATCCTATATATTGCAATAAACTAAAAATAATTTAATTCATTTGAAATATCTTGAAAAATAAACGAGAAATCATTCAACATACTGACAGATGATTACTAAACGCAAATAATATCTACTACACTTTATGAGAACTATATCTGATTGTGAGATTTTGTTACTTCATTTACATTTGAAGACAGGTGTTTTAATTAGGGACAACATGACACGGTTCTGATGTTATAAATGGTACCGGTAATCAGTCATAATTACATGGTACAGGTGAATTTTTTTTCTGTTAACGTGGGTAGAGTATGTGTCGCTCTGTTGATTTAAATATTTGCATTTTCCGTCTTCCGACATGCATGTATTGAATTAATTCGTTTTACTATTTAAAATATTCTGCAAGGTGACAACTGTGGCATAAGAAATTGAATTTTTAATCTACAGAGTGCAACAGTGACATTGCGACACATTTTTGGGACTGACTCTTTTCGTCAAAAAACACAAGAGTAAAGATTTTTCTTAAAACGATTAGCGAAGGTGCTACAATTCTTTTTCAAATTTGGTATAATCCATTTCCCTCATAATAACTACGTGCCTGTAAAAGAGTGACCGCAAAAAAGCCATTTTTCCGCCTGTTTTTGAGACTTTGACACGTATATGGTTGAACTTAGGGGTGGTTTTACCCTCATTTAAAAGTATTTTCCTTCGGACCTAGTGATTTTGGGTTATTAACGAACTAATTATCACGTATAAAAGAAAAAAAAATGTAACTTTTAATATATTTTTTGCATTTTTTAGGCCTTTAGGGGATGATTTCACCTCTTTAGAGATATTAAGGGTTGATTTTCAATCCAAACAAGACCGTATCAAATACGAAATTAGATGTTTTCACGTTCATAATATTATTTTGATAACAACATAGAAATATTTGGGGTTTTACAACTGTTGATGATTCTTAATTTGTTCGCTTTTTGTCTTTTCAATCCCTAAATAAGGATGATTTTCGAAAATTTTCGAAAAACTGGAAATGATGCCCATTTTCATTTTTCATTGCGAGTTTTTGGATATTTTTAGAATATTTTTAGGATTTTTCCTGTCGCCTCTGTCAAAGTCTCAAAAACAGGCGGATTTTGCGGTCACTCTTTGATCAATGGCGTCCAAATTAGACGCGAGGTTTTACCTATCAAAAAAGCTTTATTGATGTTAAAGTTTCTTGCAATGAACATTATCTATAATGTCCATTAAATCTTTACTCCTTTTATTGAAAATCACAGTGTTTTTCTGCCGAAACTTGACCTAAAGCAAATTTCCAAAAAACAAATATCGACGATTATCAGCCACGTAACCAAAGTTCTGAAATTGGAAGCCGTTTTTGCAGGTTCTTTTATCATGTTTACAAAATTGACTTTCAGAAAAAGGGGAACCCTACAGAAACTACACTACCTTTTACCATGATCTGTGAAAATGACTTAAAATTTCACATCATCCTGCAACCACTGAAAACTCTTCCACTTATTTGGGTGGGTTGGCATATTTTTAGAAATATTTAATATTAGCATTTGTAGACTTTTTTAAACAACGATCTTCAAGAACCATTTTTTCCATTTTCCTGCGAACATTAGGATTGGTTGGGTGTGTAAGTGTTCCACTTCTTGGGTCATCTTCATGGACCCACCGAAATTGAACTAACACTTTATAATATCATACAATCTTGTCGCCATATAGTGCAATGATTCGTTTGTGAATATTTTTAGTTATTCTGTTCAAATTTAATTCGCAAGTAAAAACGATCACTACTGAACAGTCAAATTTTTTCTATCATGGCTAGGTAGATACTTTTTCTAAAATCCTTCATATTTCAAAGGAAAAAAATGTTTTCACATTTTTATTTAGTCACTAGATTAAACGTCCTATATGTACATATATTATATCTTCAAATTTAAAATAGGAAACTATGGATGATTAATGAAAGTGTAATTTAAAAAAGTCTAAAAAGGTAACTAACCAATAAAAATACTGTTTCTGTGACACAAATATTATAGTTTTGTTTTTTTTTGTACAAAAGATAACCTAATCGGTGGAAATGAATACGGGGTGTCCGGAATTTATGAACACAAAATTTGTTGAGGTGATTTTCCTCGCAAAATAATGGTTTCATGATACTTTTTCAAAAACTCAGATTTATTTATATTTTTTATTTAACATTTTATCTTGCTTATTTGAATCAAGCGATTTTAATCAAATCTGACCCACTTAATAATCAAAAATTCCACCAAGAAGAAATTTAATCAAAATTCTAAAAAACTAAAGGGCTAAAATGACCCTTATTGATTACAGAGTTGATTATAACTTTTCTTGAAAATGGTTAACGTTGTGACTTGGAACAACGAACTTTTTTTAAGTTTCCCCCAAAAAAAGTTATTATTAATTTTATTAATTTTCTATTCAATATGACCCATGTAAGTTATTTATAAAGCTTCAAATGTTGGATGATATTTTTATAATATGAAAAAAAATTGCTTACTATCGAAATGTTGGGCCAAAATATTTATTTAAAAAAATTACTTTATGTTATGTTGTTCTATTTCCATTCAGGGTGCCACAAAAGTAAGCGCTAAATTGTTAATACGTTTAACTCATCAAAATGTTTTTAAGATATAATTTGTATTGCCCACCACTAACCCGAAACGCATGAACTGACGACAATGTAAGTTTTCCTAAAAAATATTGGATAAAAGTTGCTTTAAAGAATTAAATACTTGATTAAAATTTTGACATTTATTTCTGGGACATCTTGTGTAATGAGTTTCCGAAAAAACTGCCATTATCACTATATTTATTAGTAGAGTCACCCCCTGACTTGTTTTACACATACAATTTTTAGTCACCGTGTACATATGTCCACCTGACAAACTAGGTTATTCGCTGGCAGAAAAAAACTCCTTAAAGCCACATATTTGCTTCTTGCTGTCGCCGGATTTTTTGTCTTCGGGGCACGGCACACTTTACAAATATTCACCGTGGCAATGAAACCGAGAACCTTGGGCGCAATGCGACAGAAAGCGAATTTAACAGAAAATAGGTACGTAACCAAGGCTCGTACCCCTTGCAGAATGCATTGTGTAGTCCATTTAGTCCAATCACGTGTGGGATCGGTATTAAAAATATTGGTACTGTTACATTTCTAATAAAACGGGTGGATAGGGTGTGGTGTCGGTATATATAGCAGGTATTTTAGTACCGCACCATAACTTTAAGTTGCCCTCTAAAATAACAACATGTTTGTAAAACTGGTAAGTAGTGATTTTTTCTTAAAAAAAAAGTAGTGCGAATTGTTTGACTATGGGAGCTTTACCAGTGATAAGGACTTTATTAGTGATTTTGTTTGTGTGCGCATACGGAGAAGTGGTGAGAACAGAACCGTAAGGATAATAAAGGATACAGACGTTTCGTGCAGTTGCGTACTCTTCATCAGCGATTGTAGTGCAGCCATTTTTGTAATATAACCGTTTCGATTGTCGGTAAAAAGAATCACTACAAAGGATTAGTGTGTGATAATCAACCGCAAAATCACTATTTTTATTTTTTTAATTTCTTGAATATTACAGTATTTTTTTTCTATCGAATAAATTTCACAAAAAGGTATTGACAGCTACGCTCTATGGAAATATTGATTCTTCAATATCTAGTGAATTTAAAAAATGTTTAAAGTGATCACTATGTGATGATATTCTTATATTGGAAATAGCACATATGCTTTTCCTTTTACTTTTTACTTTTTTAATCTTGTTTACTTTTTAAATATACCTAAAGAGCTTTATAAAAGACATTTCCATCATTTTTAACAAATTGGATTACAATATTCTTGGTTTTCTAACATTTATTCTAAACATATAATATTAAATATTAGTTTTCGTTACTATTTTATTTAACTGGGTATTTTGCGATGGCGAATATGAAATAAATAATAAAATTATATAAAAACATAAATAAAATAAATTTTAAACCCCAAAGTGGTTCAGCCAACGGGTTGACTTTACAAACTTGGTTTTGTCTAACGAGAAATATCTCAATATATTAATAAAATGCCACAAATAAATAAATTGGTACAGGCAATAAACATTTTTATAAAATAAAAAATAAAATATTCTCTAGATAATGTAAAATACTACGACTTTCTCTTAACATGATTTGAAAACACTTTTGTAGATAAAATTGTTACAATATATTTACAGATAATATCACAGAAAATATCTTGATGCAAAAAAACTGTTCATAAACATTCAAAATAATATTTTCGGATAAACTAATGGATCTTTCTTTACAATTATGAAAAAGTGTACCACAAGATAATGGTGATTTATTCTTAATACATATGTTGCCTATTTTTTACACCTTATTTACTATTAGAGACAAAACCTAATAAATCTTCATTTCTTTCGTCATGGAAAAACGAATTTTGTGAAATAACTATGCATGTAGATAAAAAATTTAAATATCCGAGCATCCCATTAATTAATTATTGTCGTTCCGCCTACTTATTAGCAAAAAAGGCAAGTCCTGATATATATTTTTATCAAATTCTAAAACCGGTACCCTCGTCTAGGCTTTTTTAGAATAATAATGAATATATAATTAAAAATGGTAATTAATAAAATATTTGAAAAGTTGCAACTGCAAATAAATGGCTACCCAAAAATACATGATATCGACGGCAGTTGGCAATCTCGACAAAAGTAATATTTCTACCCCTTATTCCAATCGCAAGTATTAGTCAAACCTTGTAGTAGAAGATGACTTATTATTAATCGGGTGATAAACTCAAACCACCATTCAATACAATAATGAGACAAACGTCGACGGGCATCAATTCCTCATATATATTGACTCAATCCATCTATACTAGCGCAGCTAGTAGCTTATCTACTTCCTCTCTATGATAACAATCGATATACGATCGTCCAGTATCAAGATTCGAACCTGCAGTCTCAGCAACAACGATTTAAACCTCTTCGCTACCGCTACCAATAAAAGATATATATTGTAAGAGACATTTTTATGTTACAGGCCGTATTAGCTTGCTCTTTGGCAGCAGCCAACGCAGTATGGAACGGCCCCCTCGCCGGCGGCCAGCCAGCCTCCCTCTACCCCGCCGGAGTGAGCCCCCAGGCTTGCCCTAACTTCCCCAACTGTGCCAACCCAGCCGTAGCCGCCAACCCCAACCAAGCCGCTCCCCAACAATGGGGCAACCCACAACCTCAACCTCAGTGGAACCAGGGTAACCAGTGGAACCAAGGAAACCAGTGGAACCCACAAGCCGTCCCACAATACAACAACGACGCTACACAGAGACTGAACAGAGGAGAGTACATTGGAGATGGTGACTATCACGGTGAAGGTCTTGCCGAAGCTCTTGCTCCAGGTAATTTGGCATCCTGCTGATGCTTAAAAATTATCACGTGAAAAACCTGATCAGAAAATAACGAAATCAAACTACCAGATAGTAAAAAAAACTCTTAACGTACGATTTACGTAACTAAGTTATTAGAATGCCCCGAGATGGAAAATTTAAACAAAATTTAGCACAAATTGCTAAATAACTATAATACTTCTTCAGCATGGCAATGAAAAAGTTTAAGGGATGAAGGTACCCATAATATAGAATGACTGAATCTTTCTTATCATTAGAGATATCAAATCTTACATCATGGCTTTCTGTTCAAATATGATATAACATACAAATAATTAAGTTTAACCTGCCAAACCATTTGGAAAAGTTTTGTACAACATTCAATACTAGGTATGATAAAAAAACTTCTAGTCTATAACTTTCGCATCTGGCATTTTTCTCAATTTAAACAAAATTAAATATAGGTAAACATTTAAGATTATAAAGTAATAGATATATCCTTTCAAAAGCAAATGTTCCTAAAAAAATTTTGTCCAGGTAACTAAATTCTTTGCCTAATTTTCAGTGATGAAATATGTCACAAATTAAGAAAATTGTTATGTTCATATATGTATATCAGCACACTCCTTTTCAACATAGTTGTGTGCTAAGATTCAAAGAAAGGTTCGGTTTTCTTAAAACCGTAAGAAAACTTTGACTTTTTCAACTTTGGTATGTAGATTACGTTTTTGATCGTCTCCGAATATACAGTGAATCAGATTTAATGTAGAATTTGGGACATTATCATAGGAACTTTTGAAAAGAAATAAGATTTTTCATATAAACGTTTTTCCAAAATGCTCCCCCTTTGAAATATTTTCTAAATTACAAAAAAAAAATCTATTCCAAACTAACGCAGATATTCAAACTAACTTATACATACCTACATCATACCTGGATAGATGGCCTTAATATGCAATAACAGCAAATGCTCTAACCAACTACTAGTGAAGATATAGACAATCACTATAATTGATTTAATAAAAAAACAGTGCCGCTCTGGGTCAAATGAAAATTGTTCACATTTTTGCATCGAGTTTTCAATTTTTAAGAAAAGATTTCTCTTGATAATTTTTTATATCCGTCAAAATTTCATTTACAAATTTCCAGTGGCTGGAAAAACAAAAAATGTCGTAACTCGAAAAGGGAACATGTTTGTATCACGAAAAACTCTATTTTAAAAAATGCTAATTCTGTATGTACGTAGAATACAGTTGATATAATGAAAAAAAAAATTATATCAACACTATACCTACATACATGAGACCTTACTACCCCCCTTCCATTATTTTATTTTTATAGTATTTTTTCGTACGTTTTAACATACTGAATTCAGGAAACGTATACTTCTATGAAAATTGTTTGATAATCTTTTTATCTCAAGCATGTTAGTTACACCTGGTATAAAAACTTGTAATCCTACTCGAATATTATCACATAATTCAGACATACGTCTTTTTTTCTACTCAATTGTATGATGTTTTACTTTTAGATTTATTGTTTAAATTTTGACAAAATTTTCTTTATATATAATTATAATCTATTGATTAGAAATATTTTTTGATATTACTAGGTATGTACTTTCATTATCCCAATGGATTCTAAAAATTGTACGAAAAATATACATCAATTTGCTACCGTAAAAAATTTATTTATTTATTTATTTTTTGAAGGTTACGAAAACCGTGGAGGATGGAGCCCCAGCCAAAACAGCTACGGACCCCCACCTGGTGCCCAGCAAGCCCATGGAGTAGGCCAAATCCCCGCTGGAGTCAATGCCCAGGCTTGCCCCAACTACCCATTCTGCAGCTAAGCGGTTGCTACAGCCAGCTGACAACATGTTGTCATTTTTCCTTAAACTTTAAAAATTAAATACCTATCTCAGTCTGTGAACAATAAAAATAAGATGATTTTTTTTAGCGAGATTTGGCAAACTACATGTCCTTTTGTAAGAGTTATCTGTACATGCTGTATATAAACAATAAAATCCTCTAAATTTTAAACGTTGTTTCACTTGGTATTCTGCTTACCAAAACAGTGTACATTTTGTTTTTCATGTTTAATTTAAATAAAACTAATTCCTAAAGTTATACAAATACAACTTTTCAACACCAACCACAACTTATGAAAAATTGTTTTACAATAATGTAAAATGTTTGAGGTATGTACCTCAGTCTCTTAAGAGATGTACATTCATTCACATCTCCTTAGTTTTGCGGAAGTTTACAGTAATGTTATTGTTCCATATTTAATGGTCTAACAACATGCTATTTCATAAACCAGTCAGTTTTTTCTTTAAAAGCCGTTTCTTCAAGCTCATGTTTATTTATATCCGTCCTTAGGTAAATCAACTCATTTGTTGCTTGTTACCAACGCACACTCCTGTTTTTCATTGAACCATACTGTAACTGATTTTGCACATTCATGCAAATCTAGTTTTTATGCGTAAGTACACGTTATTTTTACGCTCTGTACATTCTCTTGTTCCAATACACCTCAGGTAAATCCAGTTACTTTTTTTAGTAAACACAATAAAAAATTTAATTTTGAAACTTGTTTGTTTATTAATTGTTTGCTTTGTTCAGCTCTCCGCAAATTGGCGACAACTTTTACTTTTACCCTTTTAACCTTAGCCTTGAATTGTCTTGGGCGACAACTGAAGGAATGCCTTATATTACGCCGCTGTGTGACATTTACAGAACATTAATTAGCAGCATGGCATGATGCAAGTCGTGTGATTTTTGTCATATTTTCCATATATGTATGTACGGATACATGTACGTATCGAGGGTGTGTTTTCTACCAAGTACCATACCTTGAGATCTGAATTACCCCTAGGGCATTCACTAGTTGTAACACTCACTTTTAAAATAGATTAAATCTTGTGAAGATATTTTATAGTCGAGGAAATAAAGCACTGAACCTGCGAAATTTTTCGATCAAGTCATATCAAGATGGGGTTTTTTGCATTCGGTTTCTAAAATTATGTGAGAAAAATGTATCAACTTTGTATTTTTCGCCCAAATTGCATTTGTGCAATGCAAAATGCATCCAGAAAAATGCATTTTTTAAAGTCGTTTAGAAAAAATTCATAACTCGGTTAATAATGCCTGGAATGGACTCAAATCAGAGTTCCGTGGGTTTTCGAGGTCGCTGATCCCGAATATGACCTTCAAATTGGTCCACCGCTGACCTGGAGCTTAGGATTGATGATGAACGTCATCTTCGAGGCTTCTCCTGAATTTCACTCTTAAATACAGCGAGACTTGACACCCGGGGGTTTTTCGGATCGCTGATTCCAAATCTTGCGTCGGCGAGCACCCCCCGGACACCTGGTGCACCGGAACCTTACTATAACTTTTTTATGCATTGTCTTTTATGACTTTTCATTGAAAAGTATGAAATTTCTGAGTTTTTTAGTAAAAAAAGATACTCTAGGTCCATATTGGTAGAATGTTCTATTTTTGTGTAAAATCCGTTTAAAAATAATGTTACATATGTTACATCATCGGGAATTGAAACTGTTAATATTTTCTAAAGTAGCAGGTTGTGAAGAACAGAACGCGTTTGGCGTCATTTGCATTGACAATTCAGTTATTTACTTTTTGCCAATTTTTATTTTCACAGAAATTTATTATTTTTAGTAAATTATTATTAGACAAAGTAAAAAATAACAATTGGAATTATTAAATAGTAATACAATAAACTAATAAAAATAATTGAAAACCACACTATTAATGAAACTTATCTTTATCTCAATAGTAATTTTTATAGCAAATGCACAAAAAGATTTCCATTTTACTGAATACATTTCACAGCTCGACGGCTACCTCAAAACTTCAAAATTATGTTGTCTGATTTGATTCGTAGCCAAATAAATCCTCTGTTGTAATTTTTTCAAAGGATTTAGGTCTAGAGATCGAGGTGGCCATGGAATGAGGCCACCTCTACCTATTGGTCTGCCAGGAAAATGATTATTTAACCAATTTATGACATTATGGGTAAAGTGAGGTGGCGCCCCATCTTGTTTATAGTGTAACGTTAAGCGTTACGTTTAACGGTGTATCATCCAATAGTTTGGATCATATTTGTGGATCATCCATTTGTACGCCGTATTGCCCGTGAATTTTCGTATTATCAGCTATTATGAATATCTGCTAGCTCTACATTCATGTTGCATTTTCGACTGATAACAATTCGCAAAAAGTAAATAACTGACCCCTTTAAGGTGGCCATATTCCGGGCCGAGAAATAGTCAAATTTCTGGCGTTTTTAGGTACTGAAATCTTGAAAAATAAAACTTGTAGAGCAAAAGTAAGCCCACTAATAAAATCCTTGATGTTCTGTTTAATCATTGTTACTATTTAAATTTACTCAAATAAAATAATAACTAAAAAAAAGCGTTTGTAACACATGCGTTTGCGGTTATCCTAACCCCACATTTTAAGAATTATTTTCACATACTTATAATTAAAAGTAAACAATTTTATATGTAGGACTAAGCAAGTATATGTTATAAGAATATTTACATGTGCATGGAGTTATATATAAAAAAGTTGATATTTTCGTAAATTTCAGTACCTAAAACCTTGATGGTTTGATCGTTTTTTGCACCTGTTTATTCGTTTTACTCCAGCTTCTTTGACAATACACAGATGTCATGACAGGACATTCCCATTATTTGATAAGCTTCAAATTATTCAGTTATTAAATTACTTAAATTATTTGTCGTTGTGGAAAACACTATTTCAAGAATATGGCGCCCTTAAGTGGCTATAGCTTCATTAGGAAGAATTTTTGATCCCACGTTTATAGAAAGAAAAAATAATCTTTTTCGATATAAAACGCCCTGTAGAAGTATTGCCGCCTATTTTCTCACACTGTATATAAGATCTGCACCATAAAAAATTAGCTGCCATAATAAATATGTAATCAATTTTCTTAGAAATGTGGGACATTAGTAAATTCAACCTCAATCTTAAATAACAAGGTTTGTATTAAAATAATTTGGTATGTATACACTTACATTTGGCTTAAAAAATATTTATTTTCAACACCCATCATACTTTGTGTGATATATTTGTCACTAAATTGATCAATTATTACCTGCTAAGGGTAAAGATCACTGGAGCGGTACGGTTGCGTTCCGGTGACGATCACTGGAGCGTCACGTCTCGCTCATTGCACATACAGTCCCTTATAAGGTATAAAAAGGCCAGTAGCACCTCAGTTTGACATATATTGTCTACCTCTACAGTGACTGAAGAAAGATGTCGCGCCTTCTGCCAGTTGTTGTTGACAACACGCTTCCATTCCTGCCGGTTGAAATTTGGATAATAATATTAAGGTATGGTTAATTTTTCTATTTTTTTTATTTATTTTAATTTTGTTTCTTTATTTACAGGTTATTGGATCCTAAATCTCTCCTAGCTGGAGTTAGGGCTTACAGTCTTTGGATGACAATCTGCCGAGGCGACTCAATTTTAAGGAAGACTCTACGTCGTGCTGTTAAGGAAGAAGAAGCGATGGTGAGGAACTTCATCTTGGACCCCAGGATGTCAGTGCGAGTTTCCAGAGCACCATCCAAGGTTTTTGCGACCAACATTAGGAAGACAGTTATTGCTGTTACCAGACCTACAATAGGTGTTCTGCCCGACATTGGTTCCTATGCTGGAATCAAACAAAAGGATGCTGGAAAATCGTCTGGACGCCGCGGTAACAATAAGTTTTGCCCTTATCGTTTGTGAGTATTAAATAATGTATAATTATATTTAATATAATTATATTATTATTGAAATATAAACGCTATATACGAAATGTTTTCGCAAGTCGACTAAATCTAAATAGATGTTTTTACTTTTCTATTATCGCTAACAGTATATTAACGATTATATTACACCGGCCAACACGATTTTTGGTTCTGACTTCTACATGTTAAATTTTAGTTTCTCCTACGCCAAAAATAAGGGAATTTTTTTTTTTATTAAAATTTGGTTTTGTAGAAACTACAGCAATTTTTCGGCAAAAAAATTACTGATTTATGTATTTTTTCACATTTTGACTTTAAATTATGATTAGAAAAGATTTCACTGGATATAAGAGTCCCTTTTATTCAAAATTTGTGAGAAACAATAACATAAAAATGTAATATAACAAGAAATTAATGTCTAAAAGTGAATATTTTTTGTATTTTTTCTATGCTCGGATGAGCTCTCTCGTATTAAACCACAAATGTAATCTCCCATCATATTCTCGTTGTACTGCCCTTGATATCGCCGTTCAAAGTCCATCACATCTTGGTGAAAACGTTCTCCTTGTTCCTCGCAGTAGGCCCCCATGTTGTCTTTAAATTCGTCCAGATGAGAATGTAGCATGTGATGTTTATGAGACATTCTGCAGCCCATAATTTTAAAGCTTTTAAGCATGTTTTCAATCAATTGTCTATAGTTAATAGCTCTATGATTTCCAAGAAAACCATCAACTACTGCTTTAAAACTCTCCCAGGCTAGTTTTTCACGAGCATTGAGAAGTTTCGTAAAGTCATCACTCTTCATTATTTGCTTTATTTGAGGTCCAACGAAAATACCTCCTTTAACTTTAGCTTCAGATAATTTGGGGAAAAATCCCCTCAAATATTCAAATGCCTTAGTGTTTGGATCCAGAGCTTTCACGAATTGCTTCATTAAGCCTAATTTTATATGTAGCGGTGGCATCAATATATTTTGGGGCTTAACAATTGGTTCCGACTTTACGTTATGTTTTCCAATCTGAAATTCGACTCGATCAGGCCATTTACGCTGTTGATAATGTACTGGATCAGCTCTGCTATCC